GAATTGAATGCCCTTCAAAATGATGTGCCACTTGACCCCCCTTTCCATTTGAAATTCTGAGGGTAACATCCACCCCTCCTAGGGGGTTGAACCCCGAGGGTTGAAAATATTCATTCAGAGTGTCCCCCTTGCAAATAAAGTTGAACTGTCTAACCATTTTTTCATATTATGTACTGGAAGGGAGATATTGAGGGTGGGAAGTTTTCAAATTGACACACTGTATTTATTAATTTTTACTCTTCAAAACATATTTTTTTTTTCTCTAAATATCTAAATAAATTCGGAAATTTCTGGTGATTTCTTAGAAATACATAACTTTTTATGTTCGATAATAAAATACATGAAATATTAGTGAATATAACAGTATAAAATATGTAATGATTGGCTAATTTTAACCAATTTTTGTAAATGTATGTTATTGAGAAAAATATTATTAGGGATACATCTGAAAGCAACGGGCATTCTTCAAATCAAGTATATGAGTTAATCAGTTAGAAAACTTAAATTTGAGAAGACTCTTCGTAAATCTTCGACTTTTCAAATAGACTTAGGTTCAAAGTACATTTTAGTTTCGTATGAGCCAAGATACACTGAGGGGTTAGATCGTATTTTTTTAAAGTTGACTGTGAAAGAAGTCTTTCAAACTTCCTGCTCACTTCAAAAAATGTGAGAAAACAACAAAATGAAAAGTCGGAGATATATTAAATAAGCTGTAAAAACTCGTTTCAAAGAACACAGCACATATCCGATTTTAGAGATCAGAAAAATCTAGTGTCGCTGAACACATCTTGTGGAACGGTGATGGAAAGAAGGAAAACTATCCGAAATTTTTGGGATCTATACATAACAGTAGATTTTTGGACCCTATCGACAGTCTGGAAATAACATAGCGTTACATAAGATCTATGAACAGTGACGAATAATCCATTCCAAACAGCCCGTTGTATTTTTCTTGATGAAATTGAAGAAAGTGCCTGTTTTCAGATTAATTTTACGCCAGAGAATGCAGTTCGACTGAAGAAGCTACTGGGGAGCGAAACGCGTTTCTAGTGAAGCTATCAGTAAGAAAATTGTTTTATTATCAGGTATAGAATCGTGACTTTATCTAATTCAAAAGAATAATTTCACATTGAACATTTTGTTGAGCTAATCTGGTAGGTATATAAAAAAACAGGTGCAATTTAATTCTCGGCTTTCATGTTTCATTGTTTTCAGTGAAGGTGGTGTGTAACAGACCATGCCGAATAATTACAATTCATCTGAATGTATAGTCCAGTCGATGACCTTTCTCCAGTATAATTTTGTCAAACACCACTATCAGAAAATTTGGATTTAGGTAAAACTGTACCAGGGGTTGTTTTCACCTTAGGGTGAAATGTTTTTTCGAAAATTAGTCCGAGAATTATTGGATTGACTAAGTCTAAGTGAATTTTTTTCTATAGAGTTCTTTCTGATTATTAATAGTTTTCGACTTGCGAGTGGAAGTTTTGGTTCTGCAACTGATGAAACCAACTTTTTAGACTGTTTTTTGCGAATAACTCGAAAAATAAGCAATTGGATATAATCGTTAACAATGCACAATTCACCCGTTTCAAAAACAAGAGCTGCATTTGGTACAGCAATGTTGTGATATTTCTTTTTCAACGAATGTTGCCAAATTAAATCAGTAAAAATTTTATATACTTTGGTAAAACCATTAAGGTTGAACAATTGTTCGATACAAGCATGCGCAAACTAACCGACACAAGTCTAAGAATCATTGTTTTGGGTTCTATGTTATTGAAGACACCCAATAATATTTTTCTCGAATAACTTTCACGTACAGACAACGAATAATTGCATTTTTATTTCGTGCATTGAATGATGATGATTATACTTTCTGTAGTATTCAGGCTCAAATCAAGTTTTGTTTGTTTTATCAAAAACAAATAAATACTCACAGCGACCCCCGGATCTCCTACATTGTACCCGGACAACTCCAATTAACAATATCACAAACAATATATTAATTCTACACATCATAACTATCACTTATAGCAAACTGAGCCAAGAAAGAATCATCCACAGACCGACGAAGGAAAAACAACACCAGTCTTATCAGAATGCTTGAAAGGCATTATCGAAAACAGACAAGAGGTTATAAAAACAATTGTTGTTCTTATGTGCTACTGACAAGCAGTTAACTGTTCTCTACGTTTAGTAGTGAAAACTAGACGTATTGGTCCACAAACACTGGTAAAACCACATTTAACACAGAATCGGACTGGGAAATTATCACTTGAAAGCCTAACTTCTAGTACGGTCAATGAATTTTCACACACGTGTGACAAATTAGTTGACTTATATAATAAAAATTGAAATGGAAAACTCCATACAGGAATAAAAGTTACTGCGTAAATTCAAAGTATTTTTCATGTTGAAAAATGTTCTATTCATCAGTAACTTGTCGTATTGATTAATTTTGACTACCAGAAGAGAGCTAAGAAATTATATAGATACTCATCCTTTCGGAAGCTAAAATCTGCAATCGTCCGGAACCCGGAAAAATCTAGTGAATCTGGCAATTTTGTTTAGTTCGTTTCACTTCCAAAACGTCCTCGATAGATGTCAAAAGTGGTAAAAAATACAAAAAAGGTTAATGAAAAACTCTGGTTTCCTCCACAAAAAGTTATTGTCATTCCACAAGTTGACCAAGTGATGTTTAAAAGGTGAAACTTCAATATCTGGCGTAAAATAAATTACAAAACAAGCACTTTTCTAAAGTACCACAACTGCAATATCCTTCTCGACGCTTGTTTCACCAATCAAGTTGGCGTCTTCAATCAACTTCCCGTTTTTCAAAGACTAATTTTCGAAAATACAAAACAAAAATAAAGTCACATAGGAAAGTTCAATACCTGTTGTTGAAAAATTAGAGATGGTTAGAGAGACGAAGTAGAGAAAGGGCACTTTATGTCATAAAATACTCCCTTCGATATAAACTCAAACTGTATAGTTTTCCTATACTCAAACTGCATAGTTTTTCTATACAGTTTCTCGAAATCTGATAGTTCAAAATAAATGGAGATCTCAGGTGTATATTCAGAAAGTGTGATGAAATAAGTATTTTTCCTCTATCATTCAAATCCGAGTTCAATTTCGAAATTTCAACTTCAATCTGTATACTTATGTGCACTGTTAGTAACCTTTGGTGTAGAAATGAATATTACTGTAGTTTTTCCCAACACCAAATCGTTATTTTAACACCTCTACACGTGTTTCGATCACCAAGTGATCATCTTCAAGAGAAATATTAAACTGGAAACTTCTCTAAGCTAACGTTATTTATGATATACGGTTATACCATACAGGTAAACCATACAGGTATACCATACCTAAATTAATTTTACAATATGTCCTTATGTAATGTTTAAATGCTATATATGAAACAATATAAAAAATTTGTTTCACAATATTGCCTATCTTTTTATAATGTGTCCTTATGTAGTAATCAGTAATCCCAATAATATTATTTCAACAAGCTATATAGTATGCTATTTGGTATTGGTCCATCATCGTTATTCATAATATCATTATGTTTACTCATTTCTACACTCTCATAGGCATCTAGTTGACAGTTGTTGTTAACTTGTCTAACTAATCTTAATGGACGAATGGTTGGTTTTGTTGCAGAATATGATGGGCAACTGCTGATTTTTCAGGTCTTCCATATTTTAAGTGTGCTATGTGTTTCTTGTATCTTACTTTAATAGATATTTTTGTCTGTCCATTATATTTTGCATCGCAGTCCTTACATTCAATTTCGTGAATTCCATTATATTTTCGCGATATTTGATACCAAAAAATCGAATATTGAGGACTTTGTTTCCTTTTTAAATAATAGATGTCCATCAATAAAATTCACGTATGAGTTAGAAAATAAGGGATAACTACCATTTCTTGACGTACAGGTATTCCTGACAGTTCACGTCACTGTGGACAGCACAAACGTGCTGGGTTGAATTTTTTAGTGCACCGTCTTTTGACTTTCCCTCTAACACATGATAGGATCACAAAACAAAAACGTACAATACAGGAAATAGCAGCCACTAACGGTTTCTCGAAGGGTACTGTAGATGACATAATAAGGAAGAAGAAGTTTAGGTTAAGAATGAACGAAATCTCGACTTTCAAAAAGGACAAAAACCAAGATAAATACGTCTCAGTTCCATACCACCAATATACGAAGAACTTTGGAAAGATTTTCAAGAAACTAGGTATGAAGGTGGTTTTTAAAACAAGTCATACACTACAGAGCCTTTTGGGAAGTCCAAAAGACAAAGTCGAGAATTCGGAAAAGTCTGGAATTTACGAAATTGAATGTGAGGACTGCGATGCAAAATATTATGGACAGAGATAAAGATCTATCAAAGTAAGATACAAAGAACACATTGAAAAAAAGAGGCAATATTGTTAAATTAATTTTTTATATTGTTTTATATATAGCTATAACATTTAAACATTACATAAGAACATATTGTAAAATGATAGATGAAGCAAATTGTAAAATTAATTTAGGTGTGGTTCTGTATGTGTGGTATACCTGTATGGTATACCTCTATAGCGTGAATAGCATCAGCTTAGGGAAGTTGCCAGTTTAATCTTCCTCTTGAAGATGATCACTTAGTGATCGAAACACGTGTCGAGGTGTAAAAATAACGATTTGGTATTGGGAAAAAACTCCAGTAATATTCAATCTGTATATTTGGACTTCAATCACAAATTCGACATTATCTCGAAAATTTTACCTCAATATAGAAATTTCCACTCCAAACTGGGAATTTCGTTTTCATTTTCGAGATTTTCATTTCAGACTCGAAATTTACAAGAAACATAGAGAAAATATTTGGCCCTTCAGTAGTAGATTTTGTGGATTGATACAAAAATAATATAAACTTTATTTTGCAGAACTATAGCTGTGGATCCAAAATGGTAGATATACTGCATACCTAGTAGATCTGACAATACTAAACACGACTCTTCTTTTACACGATTCATTTCATTCATTCTAGCACAATAACAAGTGTCATAACATGGGCACACCATATCAACTCTTATAACATAACAAACCGAACGTCGCCAGTTTTTATTTTAATTCTCCAAGAATATTTTATTAGTTAATCTGCTATTTCGGCCGAAGATAAATCTAATAAATCATAAATCACGAAATACGGTTCAGCCATTCTTGAATTATTATAGATTCTGCAACTAACAGAATTTTGCAACTTCGTTTCATATATACGATTTGGGAACAAAATTCTCAATACGATCCTGGTTATGTCCATCGATTCCATCGTTTAGGCGTGCGTCAGAATTAAAAACATCATAATCTCGTTTTACTAATCTCCAAGAACTCATTATATAGCTGTGGTGACTCGTGACGTCATAATTACACTTTCGAATCCGGTTTTTACGCTGTGTTGTATCCTTGCAAAAATAAAATTATTTTGTTATACATTGCGAATTATCATCATCCTGTGGAGAGAAGTAACTCAAATAAATGAAATGAGTACAATAGAAAAAATTGGAGTCAATGGTACCTAGTGAAATATGTGAGTGAAAATCTATAGGGTGTTTTTCATCAATTGGGTTGACAGGTCATACATTTCAGTAACAGATTTTTTCGAAATTTTATTAAAAAAAGTTGCGATGAACATGCCTATGTATTCAGTTTTGAATATGCCGGATAATGAAAGTTGTAACCTGTGTCACCTCCTTGAGAAAACATCTCCTAGGGGAGTTTATATTATTGAATTTTCTTTTTTGGAACCTGACACCCAANCCATATCGAATTTTTAGTAGCTCATATCTGACCAAGTTTTGATTGGATTACCAAAAAATTACCGTCTCAAAAAGTTCGACAAATCATGAAATTTTATCGAGTTCTAAACAGCATTGAGTGAAGACATGTTTGAAGAAGCTATTGTACAGCGAAACATGTGTTGCGTTTCTGTGAAACTGTTCAGTGGAAATCTCAAAATGGAGTGTTTCTTGAATACGTTATGGATTTTCATAAAGTGTCGGCCGATTCCATCACATAACATTGCAAAAATGTTTCCGTTACACCCCAACATGTTTTCCATATTTCAACACTGTTCACAGTATATGAAATGAAAAGTACGGAAACTAAGCCCGTCTAGTTTGCTGCGAAGCCTATACTGAACGTAACTCATGGAAAAATAGATCCTGTTCCAAAGTGATAAAAAGTACGCGATTTATGGGATCGACAAAAGTGGATATTGTTTCGCGATCGAAGCTTGGCTTTGCACCTGACCGCCTTGAGGAGCCTCGTTTATTTTAGATATTCAAGGTCTAAGTCTTCCATAGAACGTGTCAACGTTATGGAAGTTGCCATTACCTTCACCTTCAGGCTAGTCTTTTTTAGCACAAGTGAGTGTTCAGCTAACACTACTGAACTTGGCGTGTGGAAACAGTGCTATCTGGTATTGGATCACAAGTTCATCTAGTTTGAGTTGATTTTTCTGTTGAAAACCATAGCTCAAACACAACGTATTTATGATTCAACACCAGACAGAGCTGTTTCTACCCACCATAGGTCACATTATTGGTCTAAGTAGAACCACAAAAGTATGGCTGGACGCAACTGTCCTTGAAGAATGAGCCTGAGTAAACAGGGGTGATGGCATCTTTCTTTGCGAAGACGATAAAGAACGATAAAGAACTCAATCTTCGAATATCAAAGATAAACGACTGACCGTCTTGAGGAGCCTTGGGAAGAATTGGGTTCTCTGTCGATTCCATAGATGGCATTTTCATAGTCCTTCTTTGCTTGGGCTTGTTCTTCNTACCTGAAAATAAATAAGCTATCAATCGCATATATTACTGAAATATCATAAATGTAAAAGTTGATTGTAAGTTAGTAATGTCATCTCAAGTTAGATTTATGCCATTTTTTTGCCTAGATTTTCTTTTTTGGTTTTCTTTGCTGAAACAGCAATAGTTCTTGAATGTGACTCATTAAAAGTATATTACTGAAGAAACTCTGAGCGCAGTGAATTTTCATAAAAAAATGAAAATTGAAAAAATGCCAATTCTAGGTAGCAATATGATTGAACAAATGTAATAATTTGCTCTTCAAATCTGATTTATTTTGAGAGTTTTTTTTATTTCAGGGGAAATGAACTCATAAATACCAGGAATTATATTCAATG